AGAGGGGAGGAATCTGTGTGGAAAGGACCCTAAGGGGCTGGGTCCAGTGAGGAAGGAACCGAAAGCCACACGAAGACGAAGAGAGACGTGGGCTCACTCAGCAGAGATCTTGATTCTGGGAGAGAGTGCGAGCAGCTCAGGGGCTCCACCAGTGTGCTTGGTTGGTGGACTGAAACCCGGACCCAAATATGGCCACTCTGAATGAACTGAAAAGGCCAGAACTTCCTAGGCACGCTGCAGAGGAAGGTCCCCAAAGGCACAGAGAGATTGGAATGTTAGTGTTGGGCCTGCTCACCCCCCTCGGAGGGCCCAGAGGATGGATGTTCACCACACTTTAGAGAAATAAATTCATGATGGGTGCCCCAGCATCCTTGAAGAGGTCTAAAGAGGCTCTTTTCTGGAGGCCGGAACTCTCAGCGGGAACTGCTGCCATTGATCTGGGGTTCCTGAATTCACTGGGATCCAGGGGGATCCCAGGGTGACAAGGGCCAACAGGTGGCATTTAATCCCCAAAGAGAAATTGGTCATGATTAACACAATGGTAGCAGAGCCAAAGTGGTGACCAAAATATTGGACGTGCAGAGATCTTAGCCACTGGGCAAGGAAACTTGACCCCCTGAGAGCAACGGAACATGGAGGAGTGGGAGAAGATAAACAGTAGTTATGACCATGTGACCCGCTGCAGAAAAGAGAGCTGTGATAATTTCGTCATTATTTTTACACAAATAGATTTGCATAACGTAGGCAAGGGAGGCGTATTCTGCCACCTTTTAGGTTCTTCTGGCTGGTCTCAGAATTAAGTTAACATGAGACAGATTAACAGGGGAAAATCAAGCAAAGTTTAATAAAATGTATGCATGGGAGAAACCCAAGAAAACTGAGTGACTCGCCAACATGGCCCGCGCCACCACATTCAATACCATCGTTGCTAAAGACAAAGGAGGGTGTTGGGAGTAGTGGTTTGGGACTTCAAAGGGGAGGAAGGCAATTCACGTGGAGGTGGAAAAGAAACGCTCGTTAACAAGTGTTTGCTCTGCCTTGGGAAGAGAATGGGAGCTGAAGAGGGCTTTGACCACACGGGCCTTGCTAGCTTCCTCCCTGTCTATCACATCCAGTTGATACGACACTACAGTTATCCACCGTGATGACTGCTTCCTGGGACTGGCCGTCCATCTTAAATACCTTCAGGCAGTCAGGGGGAAGGTCAAAGTTTTTCCTGAGTCTTTTGACCTTAAAAATAATCACACCAGGGGCTGGCCCCGTGGCCGAGTGGTTAAGTTCGCGCGCTCCGCTGCAGGCGGCCCAGTGTTTCGTTGGTTCAAATCCTGGGCGCGGACACGGCACTGCTCACCAAACCACGCTGAGGCAGCGTCCCACATGCCACAACTAGAAGAACCCACAACGAAGAATATACAACTATGTACCAGGGGGCTTTGGGGAGAAAAAGGAAAAAAATAAAATCAAAAAAAATAATAATAATAATCACACCAAAGAGACATATTTTGGAATGGCAAAATCTGATCTCCCAGAGTGATGTGGATCAAGGCTGCCCCAGGGAGAGAAGTCGCAGGGGTCCTGGCCTACGTGCTGCTCTATGTGACCCGATTCAGTCTAAAGTTATACGACCACACAATAACCAGACCCCCCTGCACTGGTTCCATTTAACGACTTTTTACGTCGTTCCTTTGTCTCTTAGAAATAAGTCACGTACCCATGCCTTATAAATTGAGGCCTAACCCTCAGCATATTGCCACTCTTCACTGCCCATGGGTCCTGTCCCCATGCTGCAGCCCTGGACTGCCCATGGGTCCTGTCCCCATGCTATTCTCTGAACAAAAGAGCACTAGTACCAGACCTTGAGAGTCCAAGAAATCTTTCTTTCGACTCCTCGCCTCACCGAGCCCACATCAAGAGCACACGTTAACCAATTTTTTCTCTTCTCTCCTCTTGTTCCCACACCATCTGCCATAAGACGTGTTTACAGTGGCTAACATTCTCAGTTTTTAAGTTGCAGGTGTGGGGGCCTGGAATTGGCCACCCCAAGATATGTCTCTTTGGCATGAGGATCATTTTGAGCTGGTTACTTTTGAAAACTGCAGATGGGAATGAGACTCTGAAAAGTGGAATTTACTTACCCTTTGGTAAGAGACATTTACATTTGTAAGGGAAATCTCCATCTGTAAAGGTGTCTCCCTCTGTGAACCAGGAAGAAGTGGGGATGACCTTATCTCTAGAAAGTCTTGATAAATCAATGCGGAAGGCAAGGACTTAAATCTGCATAATAATCTTACTCTTGGTTACCGTACTTGTCTGGTAACCTCCTGTAACTGACTCCCCCCACCCCAACATCCTCCTTTGTCTTTAGCTGAAGATGATATTTAAGGTGCTGGCTTCAGCCATTTTGGCTAGTTGCTCAGATTGCCTGAGGCTGTCCCATGTACACGTGTTATAAAGCTTTGTTCGATTTTCTCCTGTTACTCTGCATCATGTGAATGTAATTCGTTCACCGGCCAGAATAACCCACAGCCGGTAAAGGAGATGTCTTCCTCCCCTACACAGGATACCTAAAGGGCGTACGACTCAGTTGGAAGAGGAATGAACATCAACCAGAGATAGATAAGGGGCGTCATGCCATCTTTTGGGGAGAGGGTAGCATGTGTTTGGTCGTGTGCTGTTGGTTGACTTACGTTAGGCAGATTCTGCTGTTGGCTTTCCTTGGAAGCTCAGTTCAATGGCCTGTGGCAGATTTGTCTTGGGCCCAGGTACGTCGCACGAGGCTGAACCCAGAGTGCCAGAACCCCTTTCGCTGCATAGTTCCGAGCTGGTGTGGAACACAGGAGACATTTCACCAGAAACTTGAGAAGTGAAGCTGGGGCAGCCACTTCTTTTAATGCCTGGAAGGCTGATGCAGCGACTGAGTGCTCCAGAGAGAGACAGACTAGGGAGGCGGGACATCCAAGGACAACACGTGACCCTGGACTGCACTCTTTCACTGGGAAGAACTGAAATGGGGAGTTCCAGTTGTGCACGACGAGTAAGTTCCAGAGACCTGCTGAACAGCACGGTGCCCAGAGCCACACTCTGCACCGTACCCTGCAAGCCCAGGAGAAGGGCCAGATTTCAGCTTATGCACTGTCACTGCCAACAAAAGCCAACAGAGCTGAGGAAACCTGTGGAGGCAATGGATATGTTTATGACCTTGATTGTGGTGATGTTTCACGGGTAAATGCATGTGTTCAAACTCTCCAAATTGTATACAATAAACATGTGCAGTTTAGTGGATATCAATTACATAGCAATAAAGCTGTTTTTTTAAAGAACACCATTGGGACACCTTATGAAACCTGAATAGGGGCTGAGCATCACATGGTCAGGACGCATGGTGTTGATCTAAGGACTATGACAGTGGCGTGGCATTGTACGTGTTGTGTGTGTTGTGGTTGTGCAGGGAACAGACACTAAGCTGTTTGGGGGTTCTGGGGTGCTAGTTTTGCAAATTACTCTCTGGTTCAGAGGAAAATAACTTCTACTATCATTGCAACTCTGAATTTGTTTTTTTAAGATTTTTTTTTTTCCTTTTGCTCCCCAAAGCCCCCCAGTACATAGTTGTATTTTCTTCGTTGTGGGTCCTTCTAGTTGTGGCATGTGGGACGCTGCCTCAGCGTGGTTTGATGAGCAGTGCCATGTCCACACCCAGGATTCGAACCAACGAAACACGGGGCCGTCTGCAGTGGAGTGCACAAACTTAACCACTCGGCCACGGGGCCAGCCCCCCCTTTTTTTTTTTTTAAGAGTTTTTTTTTTATTCTGAATTATTTTTAAATGAAAATCCTCTCTAGCGTTTGACAATGTGTCTGGAGTGTAGTGGTGGCCTTGGTGAAGCAGGGCAGGCACCGCTGGGTTTGATTCGGGGTGTAGGTTGATGGAAGTAGGGAGACTGTTAAGGGGTGGGTACTTGGGAGGCCCCCCGACCCAGAGGGACCTCTGTGAGTAGATCAGGCAGGGGGTGGGCAGGGGGCTGGGGGCTGCCCCCCAGGCCACCGCTGCTGAACGTCCCTATCCCCCAAGCCACCTGGAGGTCAGCTCCCAGGGCTCAGGACAGGGGTGGAGCAGGTGTGCTCCGTCCTGGGGATGTTGTGAAGACCCCGCAGCTGACACTGCAGATGAGACAGCCCCATGCTGCCCAAGGGAGCTTTCCAGGCGTGCCTCCTGCGTGCATTCCGGGGGGATTCTCTCATGCACAGAGGTGATCTCAGTTGTCCGCCTCCACCGCCTGCACCGAGTCCCTCTTAAGAATGAACTTCCAATGGCTATGGGGGACTCTGACTCTGAGTGAGGACAGGGCACAGGGGCCCACCTGCCTGTTGGGGCCACACCTGGAGGGCCTGGTGCAGGTGTCACATGCCCTGACCTGACTCCCAGACTTCCAAGGAGGCACTGGTCCTGCAAGACCTGTTACACAGGATGGGAGGCACTTGGGATGCACCCTCAGACTCCTTCCCAGGATAGAATTACCATCAGAATCCACAGGCATTTTAAGTGGCACAAAGAAGGAGCACGTATTAAGTTCTTTACCTGCCTCTCCCCAGAAGAGTCCACAGATTTGGAAATCTGAGAGAGAGGAGGATGCCTCAGGGAGGTCACATCTGTGGGCAGAGGGCAGAGACCTAGGCTTGCATGGCCAGGACTTAGTGGCCTACACACTGGGGCCATCAAGGGGTTGAAGTTGGTGGGAGCAGGGGACCAACTTCAAGCAAGGCGCAGTGTGCCTTGGCCATCAGCCCGGGCCCCTGGGCCCAGGGCTTGCACGGGCCAGCTCCAGGCCATCTGTCCCCAGCCAGCCAAGAGGTGGCACGGTCCCTCAATCCAGGATTTATTTTTAATTTCTTTTCAAACCCAGGATGGAGACTCTGCCCAGAGCCTGTGGAGTGTGGGGGAAAGGGGAGGCCCCTCCAGGGGAGTCAGCTCGTGCCAACAGGAAGCAATAGCTTCCTATTGCACTGATGCCCCACCCTGGCCCGGGGGCCCCGCCTCTTGTCCTTTGGTGACCCATACACATTCCTGCTCCAGCCAGGTCTATAAAACCTCCAGGTCCTCCTCTCCCGCTGGACAGAGGCTTGGAGCCAGCATGATGCAGCTGAATTTCCATGGGCTGAAGGCCCTGGTGACAGGGGCAGGGAAAGGTGAGTGTGAGCAGAGCATGGGGGCGGGGGCCTGAGGTGGAGAGCAAGCTGGCCAGACCCGAAGCCTCACAGGTCCACACTGAGGTCTGTGAGTCCCTTGTGTCTGTCCTAACCGGCCCCATCAGCAACTGTCCCCCACCCACGGCCCTAGGACCTGGGTCTGGGCAGCTTCCCACCACCCAGCAGGCCCCGTTGGGACAGGACACTAGCCCCTCCCTGCTCAGTGCAAGATCTCCCCCCAGACCACCATGGAGGGCAGCCCGCAGCCTCAGGCTGGGCAGATGGGGGTCCCAGCCAAGGCCTCTTCCCTGGGCCCGGTGGGAAGGAGCCACCCTCTGGGGCCTCCCTTGACTGGATGCTGGCTGGCAGGCCTCTGATCAGGCGCTCATTTAATCCCAGGCGATCACCCCCTGGCCAGCACCCTCCCACTGCTCTTTCCTGAGCAGCAAAGCTGCAGCCCCCACCCCCAGCCCTGATGCAGATGCTTGGGGCCATGTGCCTCCCACTGCACCCCTGTAGGGATCGGGCGGGACACTGTGAAGGTCCTGCATGCCTTGGGAGCCAGAGTGGTGGCTGTGAGCCGCACCAACGCCGACCTGGTCAGCCTCTCCAAGGAGGTGAGGCGCCAAGCCCCGCCATGGCCCCGGCCGGCCCCCCACACCCCTGGGGATCCTCAAGAGCCTGCTGCGACCTCCCACCCCAGCATCACTGCCCAATGCCTCCTCACAGTGCCCTGGGGTAGAACCGGTGTGTGTGGACCTGGGTGACTGGGAGGCCACGGAGCGGGCGCTGGGCAGCGTGGGCCCCGTGGACCTGCTGGTGAACAACGCTGCCGTGGCCCTGACATATCCATTCCTGGAGACCACCAAGGAGGTCTTTGACAGGTGGGGAGTGGAAGAGCAGGTGGGCTGGGGAGGGGGCTGCTGAGGATGTGGGGCAGATGTGGCCCACGTCCAGCTGACTGTCCGCTCTCCCCCCAGGTCCTTCAATGTGAACCTGCGCTCTGTGTTCCAGGTCTCCCAGGTGAGCCAGCAGGGGGAGGGTGTGGCCCAGGGCTGACATGGCCCAGTGCTGACACAGCCCGGGTGGGGGTGCACTGGGGTCAGGCTGCCCCCTCTCCCACTCTGCTTCCAGATCGTGGCCCGGGGCATGATCGACCGTGGGGTACCTGGCTCCATCGTTAATGTCTCCAGCATGGTGGCCCATGTCACCTTTCCCAACCTAGCTGCCTACAGTGAGTCCCTCGGCCCAGACTGTACACCCCATTCCACGCCAGAGCCTCTGGGCTCTGGGGCTGGGCCTCTGGGCAAAGAAGCCTAAATCTCTAGGGGTCCACAGTGCTGCTCTCCCCTCATAGGCTGCACCAAGGGCGGAATGACCATGCTGACCAAAGCCATGGCCATGGAGCTGGGGCCACACAAAGTAGGCATGGGAGCATTGGGGGGTGTGGGGGCTGGGGACTGTGGGGCTTGGTCCTGGAGGTCAAGGTTGCGGGCTGGGAGAATGAAAATGGGGGCAGGGGGGTGAGACAGTCCTGCGGCCCACCCAAGGCTCTGGGCAGTGGGGTCAGGGGTTGACCCCTCACAGTGAGCAAGCTCAGCTGGACGGGGTGGGGACTGAAGCCTGTGGGGGCAGGACTAGTCCACTGCCCTTGGCCCCAGATTCGGGTGAACTCCGTGAACCCCACGGTGGTGCTGACGGCCATGGGCAAGCACGTCACGGCAGACCCCGAGGTCCTCCGCAAGCTGAAGGAGCGTCACCCACTGCAGAAGTTTGCAGGTCGATGGGCCACAGGGGGTGTGGGGGGTGGCAGGTGTGCCCAGGGCAGCTGGGCTGAGTCCCACTGACGCGGCCCACCGTCTGCTGCAGAGGTGGAGGACGTGGTCAACAGCATCCTCTTCCTGCTCAGCGACCTCAGCGCCTCCACCAGCGGCTTTGGGCATCCTTGTGGACGGCGGGTACCTGGCCTCCTAGAGCGCCTTGCACGCAGAGGCCAGCAGGACCCCGCTTGCAGCGCCAAGGCCCCATGCCTGGACCACAGCTCCACCCACATGCCCCACCCCACGGGCTCGCAGCTCTCCCGCTCCACCTCCATGCTCCCCACCATCGCCCTGCCGCCTCTGCCCGTCCCACAGCCATGCAGACCAGCAGCTGCCACACTCATCCGCATCCACCCCCTCCCTGCCAGAGACCCCGCCCTTGTCATCCCCACTCACCACGTCCTCCGGTGTGTTCCGGTTCATTTGCCGAAATAAACGGAGGTCATTGTGGGAACCAGCACATGCCAGGGTTCTGGAGGGGCAAGCCACGAGGGTTCGGTCCGGGATTGGCGGGGTGCACATTTTACCTTCCGTGAAGCAATGAGGGGGCCAAGCCTGAAGCCAATCGGATTCCACCGCTGACCCCACCTTTTGGCTAAAGGGCCAGCATTCCTTCTCAAGGAGGAGATTCCTCATGTCCATGCCCCAACCTGTAATACCCAAGCAGCCCCAGGAAGAGGGCAGAGGACTGAGGGCAGCGGGCGGCCTGCAGCCACCTTCCCTCCCCTGACACTCTGGCCCAGCCCTTCAGCCCAGCATCCTGGCTCATCGGTCGATTGCTGCCCATTGGAGAGAGCAGAGGATCTGCGGAGCTGTGGGGAGATGCCCCGTGCCCTCCCTAGGCCATCCCTAGGGAAGATGAAACCCAGCGCTCAGCCCGGGCTGACGGGAAGGGGCTGTACCCTTCTAGTTTATCCAACCCTAGGGAACCCAGCCCCACCTCTGGGCACACCGCCCCCCGCGACACCATCCAGGAGACAGCAGCCCAAGCTGGGGAGGCATCCACAGCTGCTGCTCTAAATACTGTCCTTGGCCTGAATCCGGGGACAACAGCCTTGCAGCTGGAGTGGCCAGAGGGTCTCGCCAGCCCTGCTGGGTTCCAGCTGTGCTTGCCTGGGTCAGGTCCCCACGTGGTATGTGCCATCTTGGAGGCCAGGGTGTGGGTGTTATGAGGGCTGAGGTGGCTGGTCAGTCAGCTGGACTAGCTCAGTGTCCAACCCTGGGCAGGCGGGCAGGGGCTGAGGGGTTGGGTTGGGGCCCTCCGGGCCCTGGTACTGCTAGACAGGAGAGCACAGGGCGTGGAGTGGGGTGGGGAATGCCGAGAGCACTTCCTGCCAGCCCGCAGGGCCTCTCAGAGCAATGTTTTGGCCGAGGCTGGCTCGGGGCACGCCTGCCGCCCACTGATGACCACAAGACAAGTGAAAGGATTTGGATCCATTCTCGGGGCAAGGGAAAGCCACCGAAGGGACCTAAACAGATGTGCCTTTCAGGAGGGACAGGCTGGAGGCTGTCCCTTGCTTGGCCTCTGGCAGGCAGGGTCCAAGGTCAGGAGCAGAAGGCAGGGTTTGCTGGGCGGCCAGGGGTTGTGAGCTGCACCTCGGGGCCACCAGGGGAGGACTCATTTGGCCATCCTTCAGGGGCTTCTCAAACCTATGCCTCCTGCTGCCTCTGCTCACATCGAGCCTGTCACAGCCCCCTATCTGGGCCCAAAGCTCCAGTGATCCCAAGGCCCTGCAATCACTCATTCCTTCCTCTTGGCCACAGAAGGTCCTTGGGACAGTGGTCCTAGACTTTCCCATCATGACCCACAGAAGAAAACAGCTTTTCCGGGGTGCCTGTGTGCACGCGGGCACAAGTACATCTGTGACTGACCCTGAAGCCTCAGGAAGCAGAGCTCGCTCTTGCTGGCCACCATGTGCCTCGATGACCCCAATCCTATCCCTTCCTGTCCTCTCCAAGTTCTTACAAGTGCTGGTGGCCTCCTGCGGGCTGGCAGGGCTGACTTTGGGCTCAACTCCTTGGAGGCTAAAGGGGCCCTTTGTCGCCACGGCCTCTCCTTCAGGCTTCTATGGCCGATCAAACTCTTCCCTCTGGGCACTACAGGTGAGCAGGCAGGAGCCACCCCAGGGCTGGGGCAGGGGCGCCTGCCATCCTTTCTGCCAAACTCTTCTCAGAAACAAAAACAGAAATGTTAGCATTGCGTTCTCCGCTTCACGTGTAGCTACACGTTCTTTCTGGTATTAACTACCATGTTAGTACGTAATCCTCTTCTTGGCAGGGAAGAAATGCCGGCTAAGAGCCGCTAGACCCAGTTCACGCCGGGTTGCTGGGTCGCCAGCGGGCAGTTTGAGACACCCGGCTCCCAGGCCCAGCGCGGACCCCGCCTGCCCCGCCCCAGCCGCGCCCACTGCTTTCGGCCAATCGCCCCTGCAGGCTGGGCCTCTCTGTGGGTGTCCCCGCCCCCCGCCAGGACTCCGCCCCGCGACTGGCCCCGCCCCGCGCCCTCCCGGCGGCCTCGTGCAATCCCGGGCTCGCAGTTGGGCGGTCGCGGCGCGCAGGGCCTAACCGCAACGCCATGGAGCTGGGGCTCGCGGGCCGCCGGGCGCTCGTGACCGGAGCGGGCAAAGGTGGGCCGGGGGCCGGGGGCGGTGGCCGGGGCGGCCGGGGAGGGGCGCCAGCACTGAGCTGCGCTCCCCGCAGGCATCGGGCGCAGCATGGTCCAGGCGCTGCACGCGGCGGGTGTGCAGGTGGTGGCCGTGAGCCGGACCCGGGCCGACCTGGACAGCCTGGTCCGCGAGGTAGGCGCCGCCCTGCCCCAGCGCAGCGGGCGACGGGCGGGAGCGGGCCCTGCACGCGCGGGAGCCAGGCGCTGGGGACACCAAGGACCCTCAACACCCCCTCCCAGGGCGCGGGGCCTCCGTGGGTGCTCGAGTGGCCGAGACAACTGTGACGCCCCCTGGGCTTGGAGAGAGGCAGAAGCGCCTGGCTGCTTTGCAGGCCCTGGGCAGAGGCGCTAGGACCCAGGGAGGAGGTGGACTGGCTGGAGGCGGGGCCAGGCTCTTGTTCCCGAAGCCCTGAGCTGCCCAGTGGCCCAGAGGCTGCGGTAACTGCCGCCCCCCCCCCCCCCCCCACTTAGCAGCCGCGAGAAGGTGGAAGGCTCCTCTGGGACCCCTAACCCCTCCCCGGATCGAGCCTAAAGGTCACCCAGATCCAGGCCCCCTCCCTGGCGTGGCAGTGGCCCAGCTGTGCCCCTTCTTGGGCATGGAGCCTCTGGTAGCTGGACCCCCACCACTCAACACACACAGTGCCCCGGGATAGAGCCCGTGTGCGTGGACCTGGGTGACTGGGAGGCCACTGAGCGGGCGCTGGGCGGAGTGGGCCCTGTGGACCTGCTGGTGAACAACGCCGCCGTGGCACTGCTTCAGCCCTTCCTGGAAGTCACTAAGGAGGCGATTGACACGTGAGCTGGCGGGTGAAGGAACCTGGGGGGGAAGTGCTGTCCCCTGCAGCAGCAGCCCCAGTCCCTGACCCCGGTCTGTCCATCTGCCTCCAGGTCGTTCGACATAAACCTTCGGGCTGTCATCCAGGTGTCTCAGGTGAGCTGTCCTCAGGACAGGATGGGAACTGAAGGGTGACGCTAGTTCTGCTTCATGCTCCCTTTGCAATTCCAGATCGTGGCCCAGGGCTTAATAGCTCGGGGAGCCCAGGGGTCCATCGTGAATGTCTCCAGCCAGGCCTCCCAGCGCGCACTGACTAACCACAGCGTCTACTGTGCGTGAGCCCAAGCTGTACCCTGGCCTCCGCCCCCGCCCCCGTCGCCCAGCCTGCAGCCAGCCCAGGCTCCAGGCATGCCATCTCTCCTCACAGGCTCCACCAAGGGTGCTATGGACATGCTGACCAAGGTGATGGCTCTGGAGCTTGGGCCACACAAGGTGAGCCCCGCTGAGGTGCCTCCCACCACCCAGCCCACCTTGCCCAGGGCACCCCAGCCCACCTTTCTGACCCTCTGCGTGTCCCGGTGCAGATCCGGGTGAATGCAGTGAACCCTACAGTGGTGATGACACCCATGGGCCGGGCCAACTGGAGTGACCCCCAGAAGGGAAAGCCCATGCTGGACCGCATTCCACTTGGGAGGTTTGCTGGTGAGTTGGGTGGGAGCCCAGCTGGGAGTTGCAGCTGTAGCCCTTATGCCTGCCCGGGTGAGGGGCGGTAGGGAAGGGTGAAAGGCAGCCCCCTTCATCTACACCCACACCCTGACCCCCACCCCGTCCAAAGAGGTGGAGAATGTGGTGGACACCATCCTCTTCCTGCTGAGTGACCGGAGCAGCATGACCACGGGCTGCACCTTGCCAGTTGATGGGGGTTTCCTAGCCACCTGATCCTCCTCCACCCACACCCAGCCCTGCCCCCACCATCCCTCCAATAAATGTGATTCCTCTGCCCAGCCTACACACTGATTTCTAGGTTGCTGGCAGGTGGATGGAAAATATAGAGCTCAAGGCTGGCTGTAGTCCCAGGTAGGAGGACACCCATTCAACTTCCACCCCAGACCAGGTGGCAGCCTGGCTCCTATGCCTCAGATTTTCAGACCTCGCCAAGCCTTCGGCAGGGGTTGGGAGGCGGGACCTTCCAGAAAGCCAGGTCCAAAGGAGCGTGGGGAATTTGACCAAGGATGACCTTTGGCCCTGTCCAGAGGCCTCTGGGGTGGAAGCAGTGGAGTTTTTAACACCAGCTCTGTGCCTGAAATTCTGACATGAATGTTGGTCGATATTCTTTGAAGTTAATGAGAAAGAGAAAAGTGAAATAGGGAGATCTGAGTTGGCATTTCAGTATTGTCAATGACCTGAGTGACTTCTCTGCTGAGTCAGATGATAGTTTTCAAATGCTGGAAGAAGATTTCTTCAACTTTTTGAGTTGTTCATCATGGACTGAGTACAGACACAACACATTGAAGTTTAATCTGCATTTTTCCTTCAATTTAAGTCTAGACAATTAAGTCAAGCCCCAGCTGTAGAATCTGCCAATTTCCAGGGTGTATATACTCCCACCTTTATATGGTATCCCTACCACAGATAGGTAAATAAGGTAGGGGTAAATAACCCCAAAAGCATAGATGATAGTAATATGTACAAAAATAATTAGGAAGTGATATATTTTATTTGCTAATTGTTTTTAATACAACTAATTGTTAAGTTTATATAATTATTAATAATGGCTGTTTAACAACCAGCTAGCAAAATTCCTTAAGACTTAGCCGTCGGCTCTGCCGATCCAATGTGAGCCAGCTCTGCACACCACAGGGAGGGAGCCGAGTGTGGCTTTCAGGTCACGTGTCTGCCTGGAGTGGTGCCCTGCGACCTCCACTGAAGTCCTGGTGCCCCCACTTCTGCCTTCGGCTGGGCTGTGTGTCTCCACAGCACTCTTGTCCTGACCTCCACACCTTTAGCCACCCTGGTCCCTCTGCCTAGATGCCCTTCCTCCTGACGACTTCTCTTCTTGAGTACTCAGCTCAGGGTCCCCCAGCCCGGCCCCGGGCTCCATAGTGCTCCATGGGACCTGATGGAGACTGTCCCCAACCACACCTGGGGGGCTGCATGAGCAGAGGTCACCTGATTCCCCTGTGTGTGCCCCTCCCAGAGACCCAAAGGCAGCACAAGGGGCTTCATCCAGAAGAGCTAAACGCACTTGCTCCCCCTTTCCTCTGGGTCAGCTCCTTTGGAGCCTGAAATAGCTCAGCAAGCTCTTCTCTCCTCTTGCCCAGGGTGTGGGGTCAAGCTCATCCCCTCCACCCCATGCCGCCCCATACCTGTGGCTGGGGGGTGATGGTAGACGGGCAGACAGAGGCGGGGCAGGTAGCAAGACAGCCAGATGTTGGAGAATGTTTATTGTATAAAATAAGAAGGGGCCGCCCCATCCCGGGGCCCATGGACAGAACCAACCCCCAACCTCCCCCAGAGGGAAGCCCGTCCTGGGGCTGCCCTGGACCTGCCCCTGCAGCCTGAGGGAGACCCTGCTCCCTCCCGGCCTCCCGTGGGAGCCAGGGGAGGCTGGAGCGGCCCCCAGAAAGGGGAGGCAGAGCCCACGGACCCCATCGCCCCAGCCCCGCCCCCGGGAGTGGCAGACCCGTCCCCATGCTCCTCCCTCCCCATCACTTCCCCACAGCAGACTTAGGGACACCAAACATCTCAACACAACAGCAGACACGGGTGGGGGCGGGGCTGCTCCTCTAGAAGCCGGCTCTAGAAGACTGTGCACTTCTTCCCCGGCTTCTTCACGGGGGGCGGGCAGAGCACAGCGCGGATGGCCTCGTCAAACACTGTCTTCAGGCCCCGCTGAGTCAGGGCTGAGCACTCCAGGTACTTGACGGAGCCTGGGGCAGCGAGGGAGGGGGCAGTGAGGAGGGAGCAGCGAGGGTGGGGGGACACTGAGGGTGGAGGTCAGCAAGGGGGAGGACAGAGAGAGAGAGGGGGCAGTGAGGTAGGGAGTGGGACCCGGGATCAGCAAAGGCGGGGGCCAGCAGGGGGCAGCGTTGTGCCCCCAAGAGCACACCTCCCTGCTCCCCCACGCCCACTCACCGATCTCCCGGGCCATGGCCAGGCCCTGTGGGTAGGTGATGGGCGCCAGCTTCTTGTCCCGCAGCCGCTCAATGGTGTCCTTGTCGTCACGCAGATCCAGCTTGGTGCCCACCAGGAGGATGGGCGTGTGGGGGCAGTGGTGCCGCACCTCTGGGTACCACTGTGGCAGTGGACAGAGGCTCTGACCTCTACCCCTTGGGGACTTCTTCCCCAGCCTGGCCCAAAGCAGGCCATGGCTCCTGAGGGCCCCTTCTTCGCAGCCCCTAGACCCACACTTAGCCCTTCCTGCTTCACGGAGTGGCCACTGGATTTGGTAGGGAAATGACCAAGGACAAAAATACCCAGCCAGGAAGCAAGCTTCAAGACCTATCAGGGTCTCGCAGTCAGGGCCCCTCCTTTCTCTGAGAGCCTTGCTCACCCCCCGGACTCCACCCCTGCCCCTCACCCTCCCCAGGGCCACCTTCAGAGCCTACACCCAGCAGATCAAACATGTCCTCTGCTTCTAAAGGACAATTTGCTTGTCTAAGATCTTCACACAAGAGACCCCTGCCCTGTCAGGGCGAGGCCTCTGGGAAACCCCTCCCCAAAGTCAGACTCCCTCCAGCCCTGCCCTACCTTGGCTCGAACATTTTCAAAGGAGGCCGGGCTCACCAGGGAGAAGCAGATCAGAAAGACGTCCTGAGGAGAAAGGTGGGGGCGCCCAAAGGAGAGGGGTCAAGGAGGCTCCAAATGACCCCTGTCACTGACATCAGGACCTCAGGGCCCACCCGAGCCACCCAGCTCCTGGGGCTGGCCCTGTGGTCACCTACAGTCTGGGGATAAGAGAGTGGCCGCAGCCGGTCGTAGTCCTCTTGCCCAGCAGTGTCCCACAGCCCTAGGTTGACCGGCTTCCCATCCACCATCACATTCGCAGAGTAGTTGTCGAAACTGCAGGAATAGAGCGGGGAAGGTCAGCCCACATCTCGGGTTCTCAGGCTGCACAAAACTGAAATTCTGCAGGCAGCTTGGCCCCACCCCAGAAGCTCTGGTGACCAGGGCCACCTGGGCCTGACCTCAAAGCCCACGGGAGCCCCATGCACAAGCACCCAGGCCTCTGACGTGCCAGCTCTGGACCCACCCACAGGGTGGTCACTCACACAGTGGGGATGTACTCTCCCGGGAAGGCGTTGGTCGTGTAGCTGATCAGCAAGCAGGTCTTCCCCACGGCGCTGTGGACAGAGGGTGACCCCATGTTGTCCCAGGCCCTGTGCCTCAGCCCTCTGCCCAGCTCCCTCCCACGGAGCCACAGGCCCAGTTAGGGTGCCTGGGGTGGAGACAGGGGTCCCAGCCCGGCACAACCACAACGACCTAGCGCTAGAGAAGGCGGACCATGGCAGGCGGGTCTCCTCCGTGCGCAGAGCGGTTTGTGCGGGCTGGGGCGAGAGCCCCAGGCAGGGCAGCAGAGTTCCGGGCAACCGGGAAGGGTGGCAGCGGCGGACAGGAGCCGCTGGGGGTCCAGTCCAGGTGAGAGGCCTGGCCCCACCCACTGGGAGGCCAGGCGGCCAGGCAGCATCAGGTGGGCCTGGGCTGCAGGCCTGCGCCCCGCCGCCCGCCGCCCGCCGCCCGCCGCCCGCCGCGCCCCCGGCCCACCGCTGCTTCCCGCCCCTGCTCGGTCCCGAGGCGCGCGCGGACCGGGCGGAGGGCGGCAAGGGCGCCCCGCCCGAACCGGGCCGCGCCCCGGAGCCACGCGCCCGGCCGGAACAGGGTCCCCGGCGCCGCGTCCCCCGCCGGGCCCACGGCCTCCGCGCCGCGCACTCACCCATCGCCGACCACCACGCACTTGATGGCCTGCATGGGCGCGGGCCGGGCGGCGGGCGCGGCCGCGAGCCCAGCTGCGGAGAAATGCCCGGCGCCGCAGCGGCCGCGGACCGGAGCCGAGCGCAGACCCGAGCGGACGGAGACAGCCGAGCGCCGCCGAGCGCCGGGCGCGGAGACAGCCGAGCGCGGCCGGCGGGGGGCGCGGGCCCGCCCCCAACCCGGGCCGACGCGCCTGCCAGAGAAATCTGGTGCGGGGCGGGGACCCGGGGCAGCCCCAGCCTGTCCTTGAGCCCCGGAGCGCTCCAGCTGCGGTGAGGGGCAGGACCCGGTGCGCGGGGGCTCCCCGACGCCCCTGTGGCCCACGCCAACAGGCAGTGGAAGCGCAGGCAGCCGATCCCCACCCCCTGGTCGGGCGCACGTGGGGTGGTCTGCGTGTGCGTGGTGTCTAGGGAGAGTGCTCCCAAGGCCCACCGAGGGGCTGAGACGCCCCCCACCCCACCACCAACCTTCCACCTGGAGCCGGCCGGTGAAAAGGGTGTCTGAGGTCACCAGAGGGCGCCCCTGTCTGCTGCAGTGCCTCTGCTGTCCCCACCCGGCAGCTGTCAGTTAGGAGGGGCGACCCAGCCACACCCTGGGGGGTCTTTCCTGCCTGGCCCCAGCACCGGGTCTCCTGCGGCTTGGGAGCACAGGCTAATGTGGGAGAAAGGCAGGGCCCAGAAGGTATCACAGAGTGCAGAAGTTTTGTATTTCCAAACAGACTGGGGAGCGGTCAGTGTGCGTTCACCGTCCATTTCACGGCGGTGACACGTGGCCGGAGCTGGGAGAGCTCCGGCTCCCCTCCCCCACACTCCTTTCCATCATGGGTACATTTTCTCAGGCGTATCAGTCCCTGCCATGGGGACGAGAAGAGTCGGGAAGGGGCTGGGGCGCTAGCCGCTTGGGCCCTGTTGGCCCTTTGGGCTCTGAGCCCGGGCAGCCAGGCCTGCCCGTGGGAAGCTGCCGTGGTCCCACTTGCCCGTTGGTCTTGGTGCTGATTTTCCAAGTCACCAGCTGTAGACCCTGCCTAAGCCGCCAACCGTGCCTGAGGGCCTGTCCCTTGGCAGGAAGAGACGGGCAGGGCTGGGACACGGCCATCACGCACATGCCACCTTCCTGCGGCTCCTGCAGTGTCTCTGCCTCCCTTCACTTCTGGGGGCTCAGGGCCCTCAAGGGAGACCCCTGCACATAAGCCAAGACAGCATTTTGCAGGAAGCTGGCCCTCTGGGCCTCCTCGTCCCGGATCCGCGTGATCTCGGCCTCCTTGAGCCGAAGCTTCTCTCGGAGACAGGCGTTCTCGCTCTCCCTGTCCAGCAGCGCCTCCCGGTGGTCACTCGCCATCACTGCAGGGGAGGGAGCTCAGTGAGGAGCAGGCTCTGGGCACCCCGTGGGTGCGGGCCATTCCAGAGGCCAGCAGAGGGGCGGTGCGGGGCTTTCTCACGGTCCCCTGCATGCAGACACATTCAGCTTTCCGTGCCAGCACCTCTCGGAGCTGAAACCAGGCCCACCTCAGCCCTCCAGCCCAGCCACCTATTCGATGATCCAGGAAGGAAAGGCCCCACAGAGATGGCATGGGGGGCTTGGAGCTCAGCTCACCTTTGAGCTGGCGCTCCAGGGCCGCGGCCTTCTCCTTCAGAGCTTCCTGGGCCGTCAGCTCGGCCTGCAGGCGGCCGTTCTGCTCCTGTAGCTCCACTCTCACCCTGGTCACCTCAGCCACCCTTTCTTGGTCCTTGTTGCTCAGTTCCTGTCAGGCATGGGGGGTGAGATGGCAGCTGGGGGACTGGGGCACCCCTAGGAGCCCTCAAAGTCCCGGCTACCTGCTGCAGCTCCTTCAGGCGCCGCCTCAGGCCCTCCACCTGCTGGCCGAGCTGGCTGGCTCGCGCCTGGGCATCGGCCACCGTCTGCTTCTGCTGCAGGCAGGTGCTCTGAGCCTCGTCCCGCGCCTGTGCCAGCAGCCGCAGCTTCTCCTCCAAGTGAGCCAGGCGCTGCTGCTGTGGGCACAGGAGGGGCTGGTGAGCACAAGGGGGCTCAGGGCCTGCCTGCTGTTTCTGACATGTGGCCCTGAGCTCACATGAGTGACCCACCTCCTTGGACCGAGAGGAGCTTTTATTTGCAACGTGGAAACCACTCTGTTGCTCTAGTTATCTTGTTCTGAACGGGCTCAACTTGAACAAGCCTTCGGGGAGCATCCTTCCTGGGCTCCCCTCCTCAATATCCCAGGCCAACTCCATCCTGCCCTCTGGCCCCCACCTTCAGCCATGCAGTCACAGGCTGCACTGATGGGCCAGACCCCTTCCCACAGCTCAGGGCAGGGTGGCTCTTGGTGGAGGACTAGACATGGTACGAGGACAACTGTCCTGCTCTGACTCCTCCCCACCCCTTGTACCCCTGGAATTCCTGTCCCTGTCTCCCCCTACAGAGCCAACAGACAGCCCTGGTCTTGCCGCTTCAGCCCCGCAGGATGTGCCCTCCCGGGCAGCTCACACCAGTCCCTCAGGCCTCGCCCCCTGGTGGGTGCTGGGCCATGGGCTCACCTCCTCTAAACGAACTTGGTTCTTGGCCTTAATGAGCTCCTCCTCAGCCTGGCCACGCTCATTGAGTGCCACAGCCTTCACTCGGCTCAGCTCCTGCACCGCAGACAGTGACTCACTGGGCCTGTCTTCCTGCCCTGGCCCAGGGACCCCTCCTGGCCCCACCCAGCCATTGACCATGGGGTGGGGGGTAATGGGATGAGACAGACATGACCCCTCCACCAGCCTCCTGAGGGCTTCATTCATTAGGCAGTTTCCATAGCCAAAGGAGCCTTTGTACCACCTTACTAAGTCCCTCTGGCCTCACAGGATCCCAAAGCGGGGCCTGATGAGGCTCTGAGACCACAGCAGGGGTACCCCAGGGGAGGGCAGAACCCAGTGCCCAGCCAGCGTGTTCTCACCTCCTCCAGGGACAGCCGCGCAGCCTCCAGCCTCTGCACCCTCTCTTGCATGGCCTTTTCACTCTCTTCCAGGTGGCGAGTCATGTGCTCCACCTGCCCAGGTGTGGGGCGGGGAAGGGGCTGGCAGGCTGGTTCCTCAGCCTTCTCCCTATGGGATCCCCACCCTGGGAGGCAGGTAAATCTTGGGGACCCTGTTCCTTCCAAGAACTGGCTGCCCCAAGTGGCCTCACAGGAAGGAACAATGGAAGGCACATCCCAGCACCACACCCCAGGTGGCATGGAGCACACAGCAGCCTGCGCTGTGGCCCTAGTGCGGTCGGGATCCCTTCTCGAGCCTGGTCTGGAGGTAGCAGGGCTGGCATCTAGCAGGGCCGGCAAAGAACCGCCATCCAGCAGCCCAAGGTTGTTGAGGGAGCCCAGCCAGGGGTGTGCTTTGGGGACACCATGCCACACTGAAGCGTCTGCCTGCCCTGGGTGGAGGCCCGGGAAAGCAAGAGGCCAGGTGACACAACACATGAGGCACCTCCTTGAAACGCAGCTGCTCTGAGTCCTCCAAGCTCTGTCGAGACCTCTTCTTCTCCAGGTCCAGGCGCTCTAGAAGCCCAGGAGGAAGAGCGTGGGTGGGACTCCTCTGGGGGTCTCCTCGTTCCCAAGGTTCCCCATCCTCCCCTGGCCCAGGGCTCCGGTCTCCAGGCCCCTCAGTGGCAGGCCTGCGCACGCCCACCCTCGGCCTGGACAGCCCGCATCTTCAGCTCGGCCGACGTGTTGGTCAGCTCCTGTCTGGTCAGGAACAGCTGCTCCTGCAGAGATTTCACCTTCCGCTCCAACTCGTCCACCTGGAGAGCCAGCGCCGTGAGGGGGAAGCTTCAGCCCTAGCCCCGCGGTCCCTGCCCTAGGCTTCCTGGGGCATCTGGCCCCGCACCCCCATACCTGGCTTTGCAGAAGCAGGTTCTTTTCGTTGGCAGCCGACAAGTCTCTGAGGAGCTTAGACTCCCGCTCTGCAGCTTCCTGGGGGTGAGAAGGGGCAAGGATACCACCAGCCCCTGCCACCATGCAGCCCCTGCCTGACCCATGCCTGCCCACCTGCTGCTCCAGCCTGTGCTCCTTTGCCTGCCTCTGCACCAGGCTCCGCTGCTCCTGTTCTGCAGTGGCCAGGAGCTCCCCCAGGTCCTGGGCCTTCTGCTCCGACAGCGCCAGAGTGGCCTCAGCCATCTGTAGCCTGAAAGGGGGGAAGGGCCAGCCCCACCCCAGGCCCTCTGTGAGCCCCAGCCCGGCCCCACCTCGAGCCTTGCAAAGGCCTTGCTGTTCTTACTCTTGTCAAGCCACTCTTCACCCCAGCTAGTGCTCGCCTCCTCCAGGAAGCCTTCCCAGGTTACCATCCCAGCCGTTTCCCATCTTTCCTTCATATACTGGGGACTTGGATCCTTGTCTGTACCACCCTCCTCTGCCCTGTGGGCACATCTCTAAGGTGTTCTGAAGCTGCCCCTCCACCCCCACTTACTTGGCCTTGAGGGCATTGATAATGGAGTGCCTCTCATTCAGGGCTTCCTGAAGCTGCCCCACACGTGCTGCTGACGCCCTGTGGGCAGAGAGGAGGGTCCCAGAAACCCAAACCCAAACCCCAAACCAGGGCCCCCTTGGCCCTGGTAACAGCAGCTGTTCCTCACGCTTCTACAGCACCCCAGGTGCTGGGCCAAGAAGTGCTCTGCGTAGCCTCTAGTCCTCCAGCCAACTTTCTCAGGAGCACACGCTATGACCTCATCCGTGGGCAGGTCACAAGTCTCAAGTGAGGTCACCTCCAAGGCCAGAGCCAGGATCCAAACCGTTCGCACCCCAACTGAGCCACAGCTCTGCCTCCTGCAGCCCTGGGGCTGGGCTCACCTGCTGCTCCTGGCCATTTCTTCTCGCTGCTTGTCAATTGTCTCCATCAAGTCCAGAAACTGGGGACAGAGCCAGACAGCCCTGTCAGGACCTGGAGCCTGCCTGCTCCCCCCAGTGAGGCAGAAAGGACAGCAGACACCCACCGAGGCAGCAGGATGACAAAGGGTTCAGCCTCAGCCAGAGAGGACAGCTTCGGCACAGGGGCCCCAGAGCCCCCGTGGGAAGCCTGCCCACTGGCCAGGGGAGTCAAGCAAAGAGGTCGCATCTTGCCCTGCGTGTTGGCTCGGAGAGGCTCCAGCCCCTGGAGGAAGGGAAGATGCTCCCGGCACAGGGCCTAGGGGTCCTTTCGCCCGTGAAGCAGGGGCAGGGCCAGGGCGGGCGCAGCTCTGCATTCGGAGGTTGTGCTGTCCTCACCTGCTTGGACTTCTCTTCCCGGAGGTGCCGCATCTCCTTGCTGAGCACATGGGCACGGGCCTGGTTCTCCCGGAAGGTGGTCTGCCGGTCCTGGTTGTGGTCCATGGCTTGTTCTGTTGGAAGGAGCCAAGCTGTCCACCAGGGGACCTGCTCAGTTTTGGGCTGGCCCAGCCCTGCACCCGGAAGCCAGTCGCCCAAGAATCCACACTGTGTAAGGCAATGTCTCACCCCACAAAGCAAACTGCACACCCCCCAGTGCACTAGGAGGTGAAGAGCTTCAGCACGGGCGGGCGTTGGGCAACAGTGGGGCCAGGAGCCCAGGAGATGCCTGGTGCAGGGGGCATACACATGGGGAGAGGTGGGGGGAGGCTGTTCGACTGCCCCAAGAGGTGAGCACCATCCTAGGGTGACCCGGAGGCAGGGCCAAGAACCAAGAAGTCAGAGATGTCACAGGTCAGGCAGATCCAGCAGGAGGTGGTGACCCCAAGCAGGATCCCAGCCCAAGTTCAGGCCCTCAGGTAGCTGGCACTCTCGGCAGGACAAAGAACCATGGGGAGTGGGAGAGTGCTCAGCCAGTCCCAAGGCTGAGGTGTCAGGGTCACTGAGGGAGTGTGTAGTGGCCATGGCTCCAGCAAAGGCAGCTCGGGCTGGGCGGCCCCACTTTCACACGGCTCACACGCACGGCCATGAACTCCAGGTGACAGGGAGGGCAGATGCTGAGAAGCCCCTCTCCAGCTGTGGCTAGGCTACCTGAGGCAGCAGCACAGTCATCAGGGCAAGGCCTTGAGCCACACTGCCTCAGCTTTCTCCTCTGTGAAGTGGGTGACCGTCCACCTCACTGGGTCTAAGAACCAACTGAGCACACATGGTGGCGCTCAGAGCAGCTCCGGGCGGTAGCTACTCCATCTCACTGCCCTTTCCTCCCCGTGGCGCCCTCTTCCTCGCCCTCCCTCTCTCCATTTGTAATTTAGGCTGCCATCATTATGCGTTTACATGCCCCGAGCCCTGAGCCACCCCTGCCTCGGTGGCTGGGCCTCTGTCAGAGGGAATCAGCTTTATGCCCTGCTCCAAACACAGCAAGCCACCGGCAGCCCGGTATACCCATACCCACAGCTCTGAGGATGTCGCCAGGGACGCTGTTCCCAGCCAGCTCCAGCCTCCACAGGGTTCTGTTGCTGGGGAGACAGTTCACCAGGGCCCGGCCTCCCAGGAGGCCGATGTTATTCCAGCGCAGGTCTGGAAGGAAACCCGTGTCACCAGACAGAATGCACCTGGCAGGGCTGGCCTAGCCCGGATCTGGGGAGGGTACTCTTTTGCGGGGAGAGTATTCTGTGGTCACCAACAGAGCAGGAGCCCCACTCAGCATGCCCCTCCTCCCCAAGAGCGCTATACTCCCTCGATTCCGCTTTCAGGAGAAGACGAAAGAAGCAGCAGGAGGGCTGAGGGAGCAATGGGGTGTAGGACCTGGGAGAGAGGGCCAGCACAGGTGGCCTCACCCAGCTGCTGGAGGCTGGCGTTGCTCTTCAAGGCCAGGGCCAGCTCCTCCGCGCCCTTGTGGCTGATCTGGTTGTTGCGGAGGTCCAGCTGCTGCAGGCTGCCATTGCTGGCCAGCGCCCTGCAAAAGGTGGCGAAGGCGTCTTCCCACGTGCCCAGGTTGTTCCACTCCAGGGTGAGGCTGCAGGAAGGGTGGACATGAGGTGCGTGGCGCCAAGGAGCACCCTGCTCCCATGGGGTGGAGGGGCGCTTGAGAAGAGGCAGAGGCTTGAGGATCTCTGGCAGAAAGGCTGAAGCCACATGAGTAACTTATACCTGCCTACTCCCCACTAGGGGACTGGAAACATGGACAAATGGCCTGAAGAAGTGAACTCTCTCAGGCTGCAGAACCATGTCTTCTGGGGCCAACCCTGAACCATGCAGAGAAAGAGGGGACTCGGGGGCGAGGCTGGACGGCCACCTTACCTCTGAATGGACTTGCTCTGTCGGAGGAGTTTTCCCAGAGCCTCGGCCCCTGCGGCTCGAAGGTTGTTACCCTAGGACAGGAAGAGGCAGGCAGTCACTCCCCGTCCACCAGACTGGGCTCTGAACACCAGGTCCACACCCCACAGGGCCTAGTCAAGTGGTAGGTGAGGCCAGGCTGCAAGCTCTGGGCAGAGGTGCGGCTCCTTTCAGATACTGCTTTCCCTGACCATAGTGGGCCCCCTGGTGCGGGCTCGATCAGTGTGCTCACATGAACACTCTGGAACTCCTGTTCCTGCCCTCAGAACACCCACACACATGCAGGAGACCATCGGAAAATGGAGTGGAGCCCTGTGTGCAAGAGCATTTACAGCCTCGGCTTCTGGCCACTGGGCAGACTACCCCCCCCATAGCTGGGACACAGGCATCCCCCTGCCCCACATGCTCAGGTGGCACACCCCTGAGTGCACATCCACTCACCTTCAGATCCAGAAACCGCACAGTGGTGTTGGTGCACAGCCCCTGGAGCAGCAGTGTGGCCCCTGTAAGGGGGTAGGGTGGTCACTCTCTGACTCTGGTGGCCTGAGCCCTTCCCTGTGGGCTCCGTCTTGGGTCAGCTCCCCAGACAAAGGGGAGGGACGACTGTCCCAGTGGCCCCCACTGGTCAGGGTTCATGTCGGAAATGAGTCGTCCCATTGCCGTGTCAGGTTTGAAACTCTGCAGCTTCTGCCCGGTGCGGAGCCAGGCCGCTGACCCTCTTGCTCACCAGCACACTGAGGCACGCCCAAGTCAGGGGACGCTAAGGCTTGCTCGTTACTAAGAGAAATTGCCCTGCATCCCAGGTTTAAGAAGGGACGCTGCTGCTTGCTTTAACTACAGCACAAAAGAGGAGAAACCTCGCAAAGAAGTGATCAGGTGGGACGGAAGAGCTCTCTCCTGGAGGGAGGCTGCCGAGGACCGGGCGTGTGCAGCCATGGGGCAGCGGTGCCAACAAAGCAAGAGGAGGCCGCCCTGAGGCAAACGGCTTGACCCCAACCCCGACTCTGAAGTTGCCAGGGCTCCCTGGCCCCTGCCCGCCCTCGGATGCCCACCTTCCTCGCTCAGCATGCAGTCACTCAGGACGAGCTGGGTCAGCAGTGCCTCCTTCTGCAACAGCTTGCCCAGGGCCCTGCAGGTGTCCACCGTCAGGCTCTGTGTGGCCAGGTCCAGCCGGCCCCGCGGCAGCTCGTGCAGTTGCTGCAGGACACCCTCCTGGGGCTCGGCCCCGCTCTCCTTGCACAGCCGGCTGTAGGAGCGCCGGAGCTCCTCCATGTCCCCGGCGCCAGCGGGGCTCCCTCCGGTGCTCCAGAGACGGGCCTCCCTGGGAGCCGCTGGGCCGGGAGCTCCTCTCCCCGGGGTCCACAGAGAGCCCGGCAGCTCAGCGTGAGGCGCAACGACCGTAAGTCCTCCCAGTCCAGCAACCACGAGCAAGTGGAGTTGGTTCTAGGCGGGAAGTGGCCTGGGGACCGCTCGAGCAGGGGCCCGGGGAGGAGGGCCCTTCGGGGACAGGGCCTCCCGCGATAGGGCCGGTCCGGGCGTCGCACATACCCCGGACCCAGGCTCCAGCCCTCGCGCCGGGGACCCCCTCTCGTTCGCCGCGGGCCTACGCGGCCGCCGCGGCGCTTCAGTATCCAGGAAGAGCAGGGCGCGCCGGGAAGGGCTGCCGAGAACTACAACTCCCAGGAGGCTTTGCGGAGGAGGGGCTCTCGCCGCGGGCCAATAAGGACGAAGGGGCTGGCGCGCGCTGCGGGCCGCCAGTCCGAGGAGCCGAGGCAGCGCGCGCTCGGGTCCCATTCGAGAGTGGCGGGGCGGGGCTGCAGAGGGCGCGCTCCGAACTGATTGGCTGGGGGTCGGGGGTGGGGCTTCGGAGGGCGCGCACCCGGGCGGCGGTCATGGAGGGCACCGGCGCCGGCTTCCGGAAAGTGAGAGGGCCGGAGGGGCGGACGGGGGGTGCCGGGCCGGGAAGCGGGAGGTCGCCGGCCCGTGGACGAGGGGCTGCGGGGCCACTGCGGTCTGGCCCCACGAGTGACCCACGTGCAGGCCCTGAGCCATCCCTCGCGCTGCGGGCTGGGGCCTTCCAGGGTGGGCCCATTCCCAGAATCCGGCCACGACCCCCACTCTGCGCGCCCTTCGCCCCCCGTGGGTGGGGTCCCACGGCCGGTGGCAGAAGACCAGGCAGGCAACCTGGTCTGGGGCACGAGGGAGCGGGTCTGCAGAAACCGGGCAGGAGTGAGTGCCGCCGCGGCGGAAATGCAGGGGGTTCAGAGAGGGCCCGGGCCCACCGCCCTCCGCCCCGCCCTGATGCTCGGGAATCCGGCGGGACCTCCCTAAACCGCTTCGTGTTCAGGGGACCGCCGGCTCCCCCCGCCACCCCATGCTCAGAGATCCCACGGCACCTCCCTAAACCGCTTCGCGTAGAGTGCCCCTCTGCCCGGCTCGCTGACAGTCAGTCTGGCTGTGTAATCTAAAGCTGCCTTTTGGCCAGTCCTATATCCCGCGAGCCCTGTGCCGAACTGCGTTTCCGACAGCGTCTGTTTGTCTGCTGTCTGATGTGTGTCTGTGTATGGCTCTCCAAGTGCTTTCTTAGTAACACCCTAGCCCAGTCAGGCACTGTTACATACACTTGACATAGATTAACCCATGTAATGCTCACCCACCCTAGGAGATGGGTTAGTACCATCCCCATTGCCAGTGGGGAAACTGAGGCAGGGCTACCGTCAAGCCCAGGCCACCCGACTCTAGAGTCTCTCCATTTGCTTCCGGGACGCCCCGCCCCAGGGCGTTCTGGGTGAGTGGGTGGGTGGGTAGGAAGGCTCCCACACCCTGCAGGCTGTGAGTGGTTTCTGAGTCTCATTTTATTGCTCTGCCCTAAGATTAGGAAGCACCGAGCACTTGATACCAGGAAGGTTCTCCAGGAGGGCCTGTGGGTCTTTGTGACCTGGGGAGGAAGAGAGGGGCTCAGCCCCTCATGACCACTTCCTTGTCCCATGTGGGAATTTCAGCCTTGCAGAAGCTCAGGGGAGTTCTCTTTGGTTCCCTTTCTGCTGCTTCTCCTTTTTCACCCAGGATCGTGGCTCTGCCCCGGCACAGAAGGAGTCCGTGATCTAAAAGGGAAAGTCACTGAGCCTGAGGCGACCTAGAAGGGTGGTGGTGAGAATCCACCCATCGTAATAGCTGGAGAGGGGAGCACCGGGCTTGGCCTCCATCATGCCAACCTGGACAGCTCTGGAGTCCTCACCCCGAGGGCTCTGGCCAGAGTGGGGTTGTGGTCATAACCTATGACCAGGGCTGTCCTAGTTGAGGATATTAGGGAGGCAGGGGCCGTGGTGCCCGCATGCAGTGGGGCAAAGGCTGAACACATCCCAGGTCCCATCTTGTCCTCTGTGAGTTCGAGTCACTTGTTTAGGGAACCACCACTCCCAGCTGGTGCTAGATGTTGCCATGGCCCGGCGCAGGAGCCTCCCCTACAGCAGCCTGGCTGATGTAGTGCTTCCTGTGGGTCCAGGGGCAGGTGGCGCAGTAGAGCCTTCTGGGTCTTTTGTGGTACCCTCCTGGTAAGCAGCAAAAATGACCAGCAGGTGGCGACAAGCTCATGCAGTTACAACTGGGAGGACAAGGCCGCTGTGGCTGCTTCCTGGAGTGACTGCTTCCCCAAGTGACCAGGTGGCAAGTTCTTACCCTTCTGAGCCTGGACCCATCGTGTGTCCACTCCACTCCGCTCTTGGGCTTTGCTGAGCTGCGCTGGGCAAGGTAGTGCGACCTCCCGTGGCTAAGGCCTGAGGCCTGACTGGCCCCCAGCTCACCTTCCCTGCACTACACTCCATTTCTGGGCTCCTGCCACTGCTGTCCTGCCGACGCCCCAGGCGCTCTGCTGGCTCCTCGGTTGCAGCCTCTTCTGGCTGGTCCCTGCCCTCAGCAGCCTCACTTGGTTCACCCAGATCCTGCCACCTCCCAAATCCTCATGGCCAGCTCCAACATCCTGGAAGACCCTTCTCTCAGCTCCAGCACCCACCTGACCACTCTGCTTGGATGCCTCATGCTTCTTTCTCACTCCACATGACTCAAGCTGAACTCCTGAGTCCCTGGATCCCAAAACCCCTCCCCGCCCACAGTCCCTCTCTCTGCAGAGTGGCACCATCCTTTGGAGGCTTAAGCCCCCACCTTGAGGAATCTTGGCCTGGACCTGTCCTTGTCCCATCCTTGTCCATCGGGAAGTCCTGCAGATATGCCTGGGTTCTGTCCCCCTGTCCCCTGTCCACCCTGACCAGCCCCTTGAGGGGAGAGCACTTTGGCCCCTGAGGCTGGGGCCGTAAGACTGCCCTGCATTCCACAAGGACTGGAGCCCCGGAGAACACCAGGCAGGCACCTGGGCTGCTCCCACCTGCCCACCACCTGTGTCTTATTTCTGGTCCTGGAAGCATCCACAGGGAGGTTTCTCCCCACCACCTAGTCCCCCACCCTAGGGGAGGCCCCATCGGCAGAGGGCATTTCCATCTGGAAATTCCATCCCCATCCCGTCCAGAACTAAATGCCTATGGGGTCTGCAGCAGTCAGAGGGGTGGGAGCAGGGCGACTGGGCCGCTGACGCCCCTCCATCCCCCCAGGAACTGGTGAGCAAGCTGCTGCACCTGCACTTTAAGGATGACAAGACCAAAGGTGTGTGACACCAGTTGGGAAGCAAGCAGGATTCGGGGGGCTGCTGGGAGTGGAGGGCTGGGGGTCACCTGCGGGAGGATGAGCCAGGTCAGAAGTGGTGAGGAAAGAAGTGGGAGGTGGAACTGCAGCCCCTGACCAGGGCACAGGGAGAGGGCAGGGGTCCTGTAACCTGCTCCCCTCCACCTTGCAGTCAGCGGGGACGCACTGCAGCTCATGGCGGAGTTGCTGAAGATCTTTGTTGTGGGTGAGCTGAGGGACCCCGGCAGCCTCCTCTGATGTCTAACCTGGGCTCGTGAGCCTTTTGCATTTTTTATGGGGAAACCAAGACATGTATTTTTCCCACAAGCACCTGGGGTCTGTGTCCTGGAAAGTTGTGTTTCAGGGGCCACAACCTCCATCTTCTGAGCTGCCAGCTGGCACGGGGATGGGTGAGGCTGAGGCTCAGGGTGGTGTGGGGCTCAAGCTCCCCCAGCCTTGTCTGCCTCTCACTTCCCTCCTGTGTCCCGGCAGAGGCAGCCATCCGCAGCATCCGGCAGGCCCAGGCAGAGGACCTGGCCCGCGTGGACGTGGACCAGCTGGAGAAAGTGCTGCCTCAGCTGGTAGGTGGGCCCGGCAGAGGGGGCAGCATGCCTGTTCTGTCCTGCCCTCCAGGAGCAGGGCCTGGCAGAGGAAGTGAGGGGTGGGCTGGTGCCCATGAGGCTCTGAGCACTCCTCTCCCCAACAGCTTCTAGACTTCTAGGGGTTTCCACGCTTGCTGCGGCTGCCTGTCCAAGTCATGGCCAAGCCCCGTGTCCACATGTCTTCTGTGGCCTCTGACCTCAGGCAGGGAAGGTGCTGCTGATCCCCGAGATTCTCTTCCCGCCCCGAAGATGGGCCAGGCCCCAGCAAATGCATCTCTCCTCCTGGCATCCTCTCTGCCCTGCTGCCAACAGCCCGGATGCAGCGGATAGGGGGTCATTGAGGGGATGGGGGGCCTGTGTGGGGAACCAGGCCCATGGGGTCTGGCACCATGACACGTGCCCACCCCTTGTGCCTCCTGGGGCAGCTGAGCACCCGCCAGTGTGCGAGAAGCACTGGGTCCTCGGGAAGCAGGTGCCGAGGGAGAAGCCGGGACCAGCCCACCAGAGCAGGTAACCTGTGTGTCTTCTACAAACAAGCAAAGCTGCGTGCAGTCCTGCCACCCTGACATCAAAGCTAGTGTGTAACCTTTTAACCACTTGATATTCCCCTCTGAAGATGCTTCCCTGAGCTATAAATTTGTTCTCACAAAGCAACATCAATAAATCAAAGCTGCCTCTCCCAGGCACTGCCTCCTTGTTGCCATTAATCACCCAAATTCAAGTTGCTTCAAAGCCTAACTTGCCCCCTCTGTCCACCCTGGTAGGACAAAAGCAAAGCTCTGAGAAAAGGCAAGATAACAAGTGGCATGTGCGAGTGTCCTGCCGTGGGCCGGGCTGCAGTAGGGCTGTGAAATCGGAGCCCTCACACACGCGGCTGCTCGCCTGGAAGTGGCGGTCCTGCCATGGGGCTGCTGTGGGGTTGCCACCGGCTGGCAGGCATGCCCAGGAATGTTGGTGTGGGCAGGGTCTGTTGGTAAGGGATCATGCTGGTGCCAAGGACCAAGAAGTGCAGGGTGGGAGGAACCTGGAGACCAGCCATCAAGCCTCTGCTACTGACGTGAGGCAATGCCAGGGACAAGCAGGTCAGCCTCAGGCCATGCCTGCCGTGGACCCTCGGACGGGTGTGGGACCCACTAGAGGGCCCATCTGGGAGGTCTGGCTGCCCTCAGATACTCAAGGGCCTCAGGGGCCCAGCTCCTTTGGCACAGGGCTGGGCGGCCCTCCCTATCCCGCAGCCCCCACCTCCCTTTAGTTCTGAAAGCTGCTTTGACTCGTCAGAACCCAGGACGGGAACACCCAAAGGGCTCTGAGCTGAGTGACTGCAGTCAGGACACGGAGCCACAGGACGTGGTCCACTGGGGAGGGACGTCCAGGTGGGGGAGGGGGGTAGGACAACAGCTGCCCCTGGCTGAGCCACCCCACTGACCCTGGGGACCTGGAGGCTTGGGAGGAGCTGCAGGGGCAGCCTTGCCCTACCTCTGCACCCTCCTGCCACGGCACCTGAGGATGGTATGGGTTGGGGGTGGGGGGGCAAGCCCTCCCTCCCTAATTCACCCCTGCTGGCCCCTTCTTGCACCCCTTCCTGGCCTCTGTGCCCCCCCCCCCCGCACCACCACCCCTAGTCTCTGGGCTTCAAAGCACTGGGAACATGTGGAAGTAATTAGACCTGAAGGGGGAGGCTGGCGACAAGTGCCAGAACCCATGCCCCACAGCCACTTTGAAGTGTGCTCAGATGGCGGGGGCAGGCGGGTAGGGCACTGGGAAACCCCAGGCTGGCCCTGCCCAGCCCCACTGTCTTCCCCTCTGCGCCAGGGCTGGGGTAGCCCAGCCTATGACGCAGCCAGGCGGGCTGTGACGCAGCCAGGCGGGTGATGGCTGGAGGCCTTTCTTCTCACACCTCAGAGAAGGGGTAATTAATGTCAATTAGGTAAAAACCAAGAGGAGGCGGCCTGAGGTTCAGGGAGGGCACTTGGGCCCTTGTTAATGAGAACAAGGCCCCAGCAAGCGGCCCCCGGCCCACACCATGGTCCAGTCTGGCTGCAGGACCAGCTGGCCCCAGCATTAGGAGCAGCTGGAGACCTGTGCCTACAAGGCTGGGACAGAGGACCCAGAGGCCCTCTTCTGGAGAAAGGAGGACAGGAGAGTCTCAAGAGGGTTTGGGAAAGAAGCTAGAGCCTTTATTCCTGCTCAGGGTGGGGAGGGGTCCAGCGGCCAGGAAAGCGGGCACCTCCGGGCTGGCGGCTCTCACCTCTTGCCGGCTGCAGTACAAACAAACCAGGATGACCTTGTGGGTCCTAGGCCCCCGGCCTGCAGCCCCTCCCAAGCCGGCCACCCCCCCACAGTACCTGGCAGCTTCAGCCACTTAGGCACCTTGCCCAGATCCCTCCTCACAGGCTGGGCTGTCCCGGGGCTCAGCTCAGGAGGCCCCACTGCCTGCTCCTCAGCAGCTGGCTTCGACTCAAGGGGTGCAGGGTCAGGGGCTGGCAGCGGGGGCGGGGTCCCGGGGGCCCTGGACATGCACCTGGGGATGGAAGGGGCAGGACGGTAGGCACTATAGCAGTGGGCTCCCCCCACCCCTCTGCAGGCACTCACTTGGCCACCAGCACGTCAGCTGCAGATGGGGATATGGTGTGTTCCAACAGCCTGGGCTCCAAGTAGAGGCCTGCAAGACACCCAATCCACCCTCAGGCCATGGAGGAGGAGGCCCCCCACCACCACTACTACTGTGCTCTGGGAAAGGACCTGGCCTCGACAGATGGCTGTCCCAGCCCACAACCCCCAGGGAGTAGGGGACTGGTGTATCTGGGCCACAGGTCTCCCTTCCAGACTCAAAGTCCCCTGCTCTGGGAATTCAATGAGTTGGGACACAGGGCCCAGGGCTGGCCGACAATGATGGGCAGAGCAAGGAACCCCCACTCACCTGTCGGCACCTCGGCTCCAAAGTGCACAAGGGCAGCAGGAAAGAGGTTTGCCTACAGGGAGGCAGAGAGGAGCTTAGGGGACCAGCAAGGCACCAGGTAGGCACTGTGGGCAGAGGCCAGCGGGGAGGGTGGGCTGCGCCCCACTTCCATGGTGGCCTCGTGAGGACTGTACCTAGAACAAGCCACAGTCACCAGGCCCAGGGCTCTGCTGAGGAGGGCAATGGCCCCCACCAGGCCCCTGCCATCAGCACAGTCTGCTGCCCAGTCCCCACAAGCTGCCCCCAGCCCAGCTTCACCTGTTCCTCCTCTGGCACCAACCCCAGGGCAAGCCAGGCCAGGGTGTCAGACCACAGAGGACCCTCCAGGGGCCAGCCCCAAGCACCGGCCAGCCAGGAAGCTCTTGTAGCGTGTTTGCTCTGGCATTTTTAATCACTCTTCTCCCTCCTGCCCAGTTCCTGGGGTGGACAGTTAACACGCTGAAGGCAGGAACTAGGCCTGGAAGCCCCCACCCTCCGCAGAGACTGCAGGAGGCAGACAGGTCAGAGGAGATGCAAACGGACACACAGAACTGTGTGGTGGGGTGTGGGGCAAGGAATGGCCAGGGAGGCCAGAGGGGCACAGGGTGGCTGCTGGCCAGGGCCCAGCCTGTGCTGCCCCCTCCCCTCCCCCATCCACACTGCCCAAATAACAGAGTGTGTAGGGGTCTTTGGGGGCAGCCAGGTGGGCCACCCTTAGGCTAAGGGGAAGCAGCCAGACCCTCTGTGAGCTGCTGGACAGGAGACGGGAACACCATGGGGGGACCCTCAGCTGGCCCAGGCCCAGGCATGGGGAGTGGGGGACTCTTGGAGACAAGTTATTTTGGGAGTCCAGGGCCAACAGGTACTTCCCAGATCTTCTGCCTTTGGGAGTCCACCAGCCAAGACCCTGAACACCAACACTCAGGTTCCCTGTTTCGGCACTGGCTCTTGCCTGGTGGGAAAGAGCCAGTGCCAGCTAGTATGAAGCCCCACACACAGGGCAGGCACTGCCCCACGGGCTATACATCCTGCCCGAGGGGGTCCAGGAACTGTGCCTCTCCTGAGCTCCTAACTGTGGGGGTGGTGGCAGAGGGTTTCTGCTCAGGGACTGGCCTCACCTGCACAGGTGTGGGACGAGGGTGGGTCACACTGCCCCTGCCATGCCCCTGGAGGCCTCCCAGGCTGGGGCTGATTGCAGTGCAGAATCAAGGCTCTAGCAGAAGGCCCCAGGGCCCCCCAGCATCGTAACCTGCCCTCCACTCCCACCTCTGCACCCGAGGACCAGGGCTGCAAGCCCCAAAGCTGGCCCGAGGTCGTAGCGATGCTGCTGCCTGAGGATCTGTGTCCTCAGCCCTTGGTGGAAAGGCCACAGCTGTCAGCTGAGTGCATCCTCTCTGCTCTTGGCCCTGAGCTCTCAGAGTCGGGTGGTGGGTGTTAAGAAGAAGAATCTTCAAAAGGCAGGTCTAGGAACACTGAGACCAGCTGAAGCCGAGGGACACAGATCAGGGCTGTGAATGCTCTGAAACCCCACTGCGATGCCTGGGATCAAAGCCTCGTGTGGAAGGATGGCCTGGGGTCTGCGGAGGCTGCCCTAGGGCCCTGGAAGACCCGGAAGCTGGGGGGTAGCCAGGAAGCAGGAAGGGAGCATGGGAAGGACAGCACCCCTACTTTCCCTGGGCCCAGCGTGGCTGGACCCCAACTGGGCCAAGCCACCAGGTGCGGGGCCACCCCCACAGCACCGCGGAGGATGGCATGCTCCCATTTCACAGGACCCTACTCAAGCCCACCTGCACAGGCTGTCTGGGGGCTACAGGGCTTGAAGCCTTGAAGACCCCTCTGACCAGCTGGGAGTCCTCTGGGCCCCTCGGGGTGGCTCTTCTGGAACTCAGTCTTCTTGCCTCCCCTCAGCACCTGCTGGAAGCCCTCTGCCCACTGGCTGCATCTCTGGAATCCCAACCAAATAAAAGCTGAGTGGACAAGCACAGAAGACCACTGTGACCACCAGGAGGGAAGGGATACCCGTCTGCTCAGGCTGAGGAGGTCCCTGCAGATTGTGGTGGTCTTCAGGTCCTGCTAAGGGAGATGCCTGAGCCCGGGACGAGGTGGTGGGCACAGGGGCTAAGATGGGGGTGGAGCAAGGACCCCTGGGGCTCAGGCCCAGAAAGCAGGTTTGATGTCAGGCCCCAGGAGCCTTTGTGCCCACCAACTGTGTGCCTGCATCCTCCCATCCTGTCCTCACCCTCAGCATCTCTCAGCAAACACTCTCCTGGTCCAATGGCCAAAAAGGGCAGCTGGGCTGCCGTCCCCTACACCTACCCCAAGCTGTCACTCTCCAGAGCTCGGGGCCGGCCCCCAGGCAGCCTCCAGGGCAACCAGCAGCCAGAACACAGCCCTGCCAGGGACATGAAAGCCGGCGGCCTCCTCGCCCGCTCACTCGCGGGAGGGAGGAAGGCTTCCTTCCCTGAACGCTGCCAGCTCTCTGATCGCGGGCGGGCAGGGACACCACCCGGCGCGGAGGCCCTGCGGCTCCAGGCTGAGCTGACGGATGAAAGGAGACGGCTGCTAGTAGCAGGGGCAGAGTGTCACCAGAAATCAGCCGTGTGGGCGGGACAGGCAGCACCCCAGGGCTCCTAATGGGAGGGGGGCCTGGGCGCTGGTCCTCTCCATCCCAAAGCACCTTCCAAATTCAATGTTTATCAACAGGCTGGCCAGGGAGGATGGGCGGGGATGAAGGAAAGAGGCCCAG